AGGTGATGAACAGAGCTTACAAAAATTAAACTGTTGTGGAGTATTGTGGAGGTCTAAGATAAAGGGTTAAAAACGGATTATCAACAGAAAATAGATCTATTGGTAGTTATCATGGTTTGAACCACTGATGCTCACCAGCAGAAGCCGGGCCATCACGCTGGAGGAAGTATCCCATTGCATGCTCATTGCTCCTGCCGGGAAGCAGCTGTTCTCTGCCAGGCAGGCTGCCAGGCTACATAGAGTTTGGCCTGACCTGGCGTGGCACTTCAGATCTCTCTCAGTACCAAGAAAATCCACGAGTATAAAACCCAGAGAACTGTAAAGCATTTTTAAGAAGGCAGGAGCACCCTATGGTAGGAAATCACAATTTCAGACCCTGAGTTCCTTCACTGTTTAGAGACCTTTAAAACTTTTAATTATGTTGCCTTATCTAGTCTAAGGTTAATGCACAAGATACCATGGCACTGAACAGTTGAAACTACTCCTTACTTGGATAAAGCCAGCTATTTTGTATTAACTAAACAGACCAAAGACCTCTAATACGTTCTCTGAAGTGAAGTTTGGGTTGTTTCTTTTTTTTTTTTAAGCATGATACAAGAGATTTTTATTTTTTGGCAACTCCATGCCACAGCATTGGGGGAAGAGTAGCACAAGAATGTTAACCACCAGAAATACTTCAAACTACAGTGTTACTTGATCTGAAACAGAATTAAATCTTACTGTCACAATAAAACTTGCTTACACACTGTACAACATGTGCAACCTCTTGGCTGTTGTTTACTTGTCACACCTCAGGATCCACTGACGTAATTCATGAAGCAGAACATTTGAAAAAGCTCAGCAGTTTTCTGGGGTGGAAGAACTCTTTACTAAAGAAGCCTTTCTAACCTCCTACTGCAGTTGCTGGTCTAACCGCCACCTTTACTTACTCTGTGGCAGCCTCTGCGATAGAGCTATGAGCTGCAGAAGAGCCCAAGTCCATGCACAGTCATCTTGAAATACCAGGGTGATGAGATTCCTGCCGCAGCGAAGGAAGACCGACGCTCCTCACTGGAGCCAGCTTATTATCTGCGCGATTATGGACAAATCCTAAGTAGGTACAGATACTGTGTTCTGCTGTTCTACAAGTCATACAGCTATTCTTGCATACATAACTGAACAGAGAAAGTAATTTTGAGTCCTTAGGGGCTGAAAACAGCTATCATATTTTATTATCTTTTCCTACAGTCTTTTCTACTTGTTTTTACAGCTGTCTTCATGTTCTAGAAGGTCTGAAGTTTCACAAGTTTGTATTTTCAGCTTCAAGTCCAGAAAAAGATCCTTCCAGAATTTAACACTATGTGAGAGCTCCACAATAGGGTACAGCAGTCTGCCTGAACATTTCAATCTATTTCTACATATGCAAATTACTAATTTTACTGAATATTAATGTAGTTTTTTCCATGAGAATTGAAGATATGGCATATTCTTTTCCAAGAGGGCATAAAATCTAAAACAGAGGGGGAGTACAGTGAAGTAAAGCATGAAGGTCTGTGGAAGAAAAAAAATCGAAGTGTATAGAAAGAAACAGTTTATGGTGTTAAGAGCTGCCCAATTTCTTTCCTTCTTTTAAATAAAGGCACAAATTAGAATGTTAAAGAGGCAACAGCAGAAGGAACAAGCCATGAACAAGTACAGAAACTAAGGATAGCTTATAAGGATAGATTAATAATCTGAATTTACTCACCTATGAACTCTAGCTTAAAAAGCAATGACAATAGGAACTTTGCTTTCAGAATCAGACTTTATTTTCTAGCACTTATGTAGAATCATAGAATCATTAAGGTTGGAAAAGACCCTTAAGATCGAGTCCAACCGTTAACCCAGCACTGCCAAGTCCACCACTAAACCATGTCCTCGAGCACCACATCTACCTCTCTTAAAAACACCTCCACCGATGGGGACTCAACCACTTCCCTGGGCAGCCTGTTCCAGTGCCTGACTTCGGTGAAGAAGTTTTTCTTAATAACCAACCTAAACTTCTCCCGGCGCGCTTGAAATTTAGCACATCAGTAGGGACTGAAGCAGCAGCCACCAAGTACATTTTCTAGAACTCAGCTAGCAAAAACCAGTTCACTAATACAAAAACAAAAACCTAAACCACCTTTCATCCCCTTCTCCCTCTAAAGCTTCACCCAACCACAGCTATTCAAGATCTTCATTCAGATACAACAGCACTTGCTTCAGGTTAAAGTAAATAAATCATTTAGTTCTGTTAAATATTGATTTGAGAGAATTCCTAGCTGAAAAACCCTGAGCAACTCCCCTCTTCATGCAGCTGTGGCTCCAATCTACCACTGAGAGTTCAATAAAGTAAGAACTCTCCCTTCCCAGCACCTTCAGATCTATCATAACATGGGTCAACTATGACTTAAGTTCTCCACAAGCAATACTAATTGTCTAGTTACTGAACTGGTTTTGAGCAACTGTTTGATAAGTTTAGCTTTTTAGGAGGACATCAGAATATTTGCAGTAAAGCTTAGAACAAAAATCTTTAAAAGCACTTGTTTTCAACATAGGTCTTTCATAAACTGACTTAGAAGTGAATTTGAAATCACAGAAAAAGTATTTTCGGAAACAATAAGGAGCCATCAAGATACATGAAAGAGGTCTTACTGAACTTCCCCTTATCATAGTCCTGATCCTCACTGAGCTATATGCAGATATAGGACACATCCACATCTGTACAACACTTGAAAACAAGTCTCCTGTAGTATTAGCTTGTAATATTTTCAACAGCAGTAATTTTATTTAAGTTTAGAGAGAAACGTTTGAGACCACAATATAAGTTCCAAAGCATATACATTTGCCAGGATTTGGGCCATGGGAGAAGGTAGGCTATGAAGAAATATAAGACTTCTAACAATGTCATGGGTAAGCAAGCATTCATTCTAAAAAAAAAAACCCCAACATTTCTTGAGAACTTAATTCAATTTCTACTTCAAATGTTTTCAGTACTTGCCTAGTTTTTAAACAGATGTTTTCATTAAAGTTTAGCATGTTTGGAAACTGATGTATTTCCAAACTATACTTTGTGAGTTTTATTAAATACACAGTAGTATCTTTATAGGAATATTCTACTGAAACAGCTGGGAAAAATCCATCAGGCCTTGACACTGTAGAATGAACTTTGCTGCATAAACTACTCAGCTTATCACAAACACATCATTTCAAAATAGCTCTTACAGGAAAAAGTGATCAACACTGGCTGAATTAGTCTCATGTACTCTTCAATTCAGCAGCAAATCTAAATAGCCAAAAAGCTTTCTATAGACATGGGCTATATCAGGTTTTCTCCATACACACTATTATATGGATTATTTAGAAGGTATAGCATCTGAGCAACTGAAACTATTCTGCCAGTCTGAAACACTGCATCTCACCTCTAGAGCTTGAAGAATGCAAACAGCAAGTCTAGCCAAAAAGAGAGCAGGTTTTAAATTTTACATTCAGTTTAAATAAAGAAACCTGCATTAGACCACACAAGCAGTTGAAAGGTAAATCCACTAGTATTTCTGGAGTAGATTAGCAAACTAATATCAGCAGTGATTAACACAGAGAAACAGGTAAGATCTGATTAGCTAACTAGTAAACTTGCATCTTAACCAAAACTCAGAACAGTGTCTAGTCCTATCTAGAACAGAGCTGGCTACCAACCTTGTCAATAAGCAAACAGATCATTCCGTATGGCTTGCCAACCAGTTACCCACCCCACAGCTTCAAAGAAACCAGATTTTTTTTAAAGAAAATCCTTTAAGATATAAGTAAGTTGTCTCACAAAGGTATGAGAATGACATATGCCATCATACAGACTTCTAGTTAAGCGAAGTGGACATAAACTAGTTAACTCAGTGAATCTCCCGCAGTAACCAGTTCAGTTCCAATACCTTACTACTATTTTTCCCATGCATTTCTATGTAAAGCCTACTAATACCAAGGTACCACAGACTGGACATTTTAGCCAGCATCCCATTCTATTCAGCTTTTCCTTTGCACAGTGCATCAAATCCAGGGACACTGGTGCAGAACTATTTCTTTTCCTTACATTTTTATTGCTATTTCTGCAAACTGCCTCCTCCCTACTACTCCTAACATCTACTCACACAAACCTCTTGAGTCTGGTATCTACTGAAGGCAGTAGGGTTATATTCTCACAAGCACAGAGTGTTCTCTGCCCATAAGACTCAATTTTACATATACAGAAACTGAATGAGCATCTTCAGTTTAAAGTTGTAGCAGTTGCCTCTGTGGACACAGCAGCTTTGAAAAAACATGCTGTGCACATGCGTTTGTATTACGTGCAGAGTCTAGGCATCAACTGAAGTTTACCAGTTTTTAAATCAGCACCTTTACTCTCACACGAGGACAAAAGTAGAATTCTGAATAACTGGAGTAAAAACACCTCTCCCTCCATTGAGCTGGAACATATGCCGTTGCCATATTAGAACACTATTTCTATTTCTGACTACTTATTAGCAGTTTTAGTTAATTCATTTATATAGGGGTTTGCTTGCTCTTACTTAGCTTTATGAAATTACTCAAACTGTAAGGAGAGGCTTAACCAAACAGATTTGCACCAAGATGACTTAGAAATCATTGCACGCTGTTGTCTGGGAACGCAGTGGCATAACTTTTTTGCTACCCTGTCTACACCCCTTCCCCATGGCTTCCTTGCATTTTAAAAACAAGCCATTTTTCTTTGCCCTCTGCTTCAAGCATCTTTTATAGCTCTTTATATCAAGTAGACTGGACTTCAAGAGCTGGGCTTTGGGAGCAAAAAGTAAGTTGCTACAGGGTAGAGCACTGGCAAGTACAAGCAGCCTGCTGTACTGCTGAAGGTGATATGAATCAGTACAAGAACACAAGCAAATCTAACAACTATAAATTTGTTCAGTTTATCTAGAAATAGCGTTTCTGCAAGAGTTCCCTTCACACACTCACTGAGGAAAGTAAAATCTCACCCGTGTCATTTTAAAAAAGTCTAACGATGGTCTGTTCCATCGTACATCCTCCTCCCGTCTGCGCTTTAGCCGGCTTTTCTTTTCATTCAGAACACAAGGCTGAGAGCGGCATCTCAACAAGCCCTGACGCCGGCTGAGCTCGGGTGTGGAGGTGGGAGTGCTGTTGGCTGAAGGCAAGAGATTTCCCGTCTCGGTGATGTGCTCCTGGGAGAGGGAGAGGCGGCGCCTTGGGTTAAAGTCACAAGGGCCTCCAGAATTCCAGCGGGTACTCGAGCTTGTGCTGCCCTCGCTACTGTCCACAAACCCGCTGCTGGCAGAGGAAGGTCTGGGTACTGGTGATGTGTTGAAGCTGGTGATAGTGAAGACGTTATTTAGTGAGAGTATGTTTTGTGGCAGACTGATACTTGTGCTTCTCTGTAAGGTCGCACTTCCATGACTGTTGCAGCGCTGCAAGGTAGCGCTACCGCCACTATTACACCGTCTCTTTGACACAGGAGTCCAAACCTTTGAATTGCCAGGCTTCCACGGTGACCGACAGCGAGCCAGCTCATCTGGCTCAGAGAGGGACCTACAATGGCGTTTCGTTGGTGGTGCCAAGGGTTGACCCGAGTTTTCGTTAAGGTTTAATTCACTTATCCATCCTGACACCATAGATGTACTGGAAGATTCCTGAACCCCATAGATGTACTGGAAGTTTCCTGCTGCCACTGCAGACTACCATTACTGGCAGTGCTGGTGCTGAATGGACACACTGTGAAAGGGTAAGCCGAATTCCTTGTTGTGTCAGTCTGGATTGGGCAACCCCCATTTAAAGCTTTCCAAGGACTCTCTTCTGAAAACAAAAGAAAGATACAGGTGAAAGACGCAAAGGAAAAAGACAGTTTGTTTTAAACCTAATTTAATGTAAAACCATGAATCAAAGTCAAGCTTAGAAGGATGAGCCACAAATACCCAGCTCTTAATCAAAATTTCACACTATATAGTTACATACTCATTTTAACAAACGTAGAAAATTCCAAAAACATGAAGACCAAAGTATTTCAGGAGCCAATCCAGGCATTCCAGGATATATGTACCTTGTTAATGCTTCTTTCTGTACACTGAAAGATTACAGCACTGTGTTTCTTAGTGAGCAACAGGGGCAGCTTCCTTACCTGCTTCCTACTGCATAGCACATACCACAATTAAAACCTGTTAACAGTGAACAACCTAAGGTACAACCAAAATGGATTAACAAGTAATCTGAGAACCCACCAGGGAATTTTTTTTTTTTTTAAATAAAAGACCAGAATAATCTCTTCATAGACTACGGTCCTTCATTTGGCTGTTAGGCTTTTCTACCAAGAATACCTTACTACAGAAAAGTTTCCGAGATAGGCGTTCACATTCTGCAGTGTGAAAAGCTTTACTTTAAGTTAGAACAGTATAAAGTTAAATCAGACTGCAGATTGCTTCCTTTTATTTTTTGCTCATATTCAAAGTGTAGGGTAAAATAAAGCGAGTATCCCTTAAGAACCTCCTCCAAGTTTTACTGTGAATACAGACGTAACCCATAGCGCACAACTTCTCATCTGAAGTGGCAATGCTGGGTTAAAAGCAGTCTGCCAGCGAAGCCTCTCACTCTTTTGTAAAGCGTTTCTTTCAGAACATTCTGCACATTTTACAGCTGTTCCTCCACATTATACAATGAAGTGTAAGAAGAACTGCAGCAGACTTTGGATTTGCAAATTGAAAAGCAGCAAAACTGTTGGCCAGTTAACAGTGCTTCATGCTTCGTTAGAAAATTTGCTAATTTAAACCAATTAGCCAAGTAAGTTTCACTTATCCCTGCTTTAAAGAAAGACTATTTAAAATACCAAGTTTTTTCCCTACGCCTATTTTAAGAACCCAGATATAGCCTAAACATTAAATACTTGTATATTCTTATAGTTGGCTGTCTAAACTAAGCTTTAGAGTAATCAACAGGTAAAAGATTTGCTGAGTAGCTTTAAAAGTTGCAAACCCTAATAGTTGTACATGTTCCATGCCTAAAGTATGTCATGGATTATCCTGTTTATTTGGATCTTATTTAAAGAACACCCTATTGTCTCAAAATCATTTAACTGTGCAGACAGCTGGCCTATTCAAACAACATGTTTTATTAGAATTCCTCTGTCCTTCCTCCTCCATTCTTTCAGATGGGTACAACCACATACTGTGCTTTGCCTTAAGCATGTAAGCTCTTCAAGGCAGGGACCATCCATAATTCAATGCAAGTAAAATAGCCAACACAATGGGATCCAGATAATGTTTGAAACTCCTAGCATCTACTGTAGGACAATTTGCTAGCTTGGACTGGCCTGATTTTTTAAAAAAAAATCCTTTGGAAGCTTTCTCCCAGGCTGAGGGGTTGGTTTAAAGTTTACTGTAAAAAAAAGTCAAGAGTTGCACATGTGTTTTAATTGTTTACATGCTAACGGTATTTAAGATAAAATACCATTTCCCTTTGGAACTTCACACAAACCAAGATTCACATTTTATGGAGGATCCCACTGAGCAAATAAAAATCCTCCATGCTTAAAGACATGACAAAACATGCAAAAATTCAAGTCCATCCCTTAATAAAGCAGTACAGATTTTACATAGCAATAAGTGGCATTTTTGTTTTTGCTAGATACAACTTACTCTTATTCTAATAGGACATAGGGGGGGTTAGGGGGGAAGCAAATAACACTTGTATGAAGGCACTGGACTTCAGCTTCTGGTTTGCATCACACTGGATATTCCGTGTGGCAAAGCATGTAAGAAGGTACATAAAGATGCAAGAGCTTTCTGCTAGCTAAGGAACCTGAAGATACATTTAGCATGAAAAACAGCATTGCTGTGCTTCTGTACACCATAGCAGATATTGAACCAAAAAAAAAATGTGTTACAAGGGCTTTTACTATGCAAAGCAGATCACAAGTACAAAACTAACAACCAGCTATTCCCAGTATTGTTCAAAGACCAGCTTAAACCAGCAGGCTCTACAACAGCATGCTCCATCCCCCTCACCTTATTTACAAAAGAAAGGCTGCTTACTATACCAATTACCTCAGTAAAACACAGCTAAGGTTTCTGAAGAACTTACCGTTGATTTCGAAAGGGAACAAGCTGCCACTTTTGTTCAGCTTCTCAGATGAGTACTGAAATCAATCAGAAAAAAAGTTTTAACTGTGTGAAAGAGCATACACCTCAAGGAAACGGCATGCAGTTTTCAGTTTCCCTATATGTGCATTTAGCAACGTCTTTAAAAGGATGGGGTTTTACTGGGTATCTTGAATAAATTCCTGAACAGCTGATCTTTCGAAATAAAACCTCTGGCATCCAACTATTTGCAATGTTTTCTGATATATTGCTAAGTATCAAACTGTTTCAGGAGCTGCAACACTACCCCATGTGAATAAACTGCAAAATTAAGAGTGATAATTCACACTTAATGAAAAAGCTTTGATCCAATTCTCATTTCAGCGGAGAGGAAATTACAGGCTGACAACTGGGTTTCCATTTTCAATCTTAAGGGTAAAAAGTAAAACACTTCACCTTAAACTAAGAGACAGGAATAGCTTTATCTAAATTAAATATACAAACTCTTAAGGGTGCCCAGAATGAACATTGCTCAGGTCAGGCTTTACTAGTATTTTACATTTTCTTAAGAATCAATATAGCAAGATGTTTTCTTATTTCTTAAAGTACAAAAGCCATTAAAAAATCTTTCCTATCCAAAAATCATCTTTTGCAGACTAACAGCTTTTGAAATCACAGTTTATTGGTGATGGTTCACTACTCAGAAACAAAGTAAAAGCCATGCTTAAAACAAAGTTTGTACATAAAGGGTTTGAGAATTTTAATTATGCTTTGTCAGTAGCATCTGCACTGTGAGACAAGTTTGTATGCAGAATGTTTTCCATTTTCTTAACTAATTTTACCTAGAAGAATATTACTACAAAAGCATTCTTAAGGGGTCCCAGACAAAGAATGGAGCCTGCTACCCAGCCTCCTATAAAGGAGTTATAAATGGCTTAAGGCTCCATCAGCGCCCAAGGGCCATTATTTATTCCCCCATCACCACCTCAGGATGGGGAGGAAGACTGCTTTAAAAAGAGAGCAACACACTTTATGTGAACATTGTTTTTTGTGTATAGCCAAAGAAGATAGCATTGTACATACACTTCCTTTCCAGATACAAAGTCAATTTTTAAACAAACATCCTTGGGCTACAAAGCTTTCCTTTCTTGCTCTACAGCAACACAGAGTGCTAGTGACAACTTTATATCCTTGAGCCCACGTACAAGACACAAATGCTAAGCTATGGTAATGTTCCCTTGCCATTATTGTTTTAGAGACAGGAAGTAATGGGACAGATGAAAGGATCATAGAATCTTAGAATTGTTTAGGTTGGAAAAGACCCTTAAGATCATTGAGTTCAACCATTAACCTAGCACTGCCAAGCCCACCACTAAACCATGTCCCCAAACACCACGTCTACCTTTCCTTTAAATACCTCCAGGGATGGAGACACACCCTTCCCCCGGGCCAGCCTGTGCCAGTGCCTGACTACCTTTCCAGCGAAGAAACTTTTCCTAATATCCAGTCTAAACCTCCACTGGCACAACTTGAGGCCATTCCCTCTCATCCTATCGCTTGTCACTCAGGAGACGAGACCGACCCCCACCTCACCACAACCTCCTTT